CAACACCAAGTAGCTAAAACCATTAATGGAACTAACAAAATCAACATATTCCTGAGACTCTCTCTCTCTCTCTCTCTCAGGCTGTCCGTCATTGCTGATGATGATGCTGTCCTTCCATCTGTCTGTCTTCTGTAGGCTACTAAATAAGACAGCAGCCCGATCTGTGAACGACAATTTCTTGGTCACAGGTGGTCGGGAAACATGCCCAGTGCAGAATTGGCAGGTTGCAGATGATGCTGGCATCAACTCCCCTCGAGTGCTCCTCATCTCTCCTCCTCGAAGTGCACGAATCCAGTGATGCAGAGAGACTGCCAGCCGATCTGCACCCTCATGAGGCTCCCAAATTGTGTTGGGTCAATAGTGCAGGAGACAAGAGCACGCTTAAGGTAGTCTCAAAATCGTTTCTTTTGGCCCCCACATGGGCAGCTGCTAGTTTCAAGCTCTCTGAAGAATACAATTTTTGGGAGGCGACTGCCCAATATCCGCATTTTTGTGCTGATACCTGAGACTGTGATGCTTATATGACCAATATGAGTCATCAGTTTGAGGGTGGGGGGGCTATGCTTTGTGTTTACACATAACCAATGCAAGTCTTCATCTTATACTTGATTTCTGCATCTAAATTTGGCCAGTAGACCAAACTGTATGCAATTGCATTCATGTAATTTTTACCTACATGTCTTGAGTATGCTTATTTGAAAACATCTGGTATGAGACAAGGATGTAGCTGTCAATGTCAGATGCATGGCTCCTTGCAAGTCTCTTGTTTGAAAACAGCTAAAATAACTGGAATCACTTGGATAAAGTCAAAGTGTTCAGTTGACGTCACTCTTGATGCAATAACAGTGCGCCTTCCTATGGGATTCTTTGTGATGGGGTGTTAATTACAGTTCTGTGGTACCGTGTAGTAAAATAGTAACTCAGTAAAATGGTGATCTAGTGCTGCTACCAGAACATATTGGAACACCATTTTCAGAGTCGAATATGGAAAGTAGAGACTTGTAATTAAGCAAGAAAGTGAAATGGCATCCATACAACATTCTGTGAAAAATTTCCTTATGTTTCTTTTTCTATTTGTTTATAGCTATGTTTTATCAACTTAAGAGACAGGGGTCACATGCATAATAGACTTTTTTTTTTTTTTTGTACTGTTGGCAAACAAATGTAAAATAACTGCACCAACATTGCGTTTGGATACTTTAACCAGCTACAATAATTTTTCTATGATGGTGTAGGTCTGAATGAAGTAGTGATTTGACCTTCTTTGACAGTCCAAGTACCAAAACCATTTCTGTATCTTTTACTAACAGTTGATTGAATGACACCTTCATTTCATGTAATGCTGAAAAGAAAATACCATAGTGATTTACTAGCCTAAGAAATGAATGTAAGGTGATAACATCCATTGGTGGTGCCATATTTATTATATGGCTGCAATATTTTCCAGGCATGATGTGATGTCCTTGATAGTCAAATATAAACACAAAGTAGACGTTAGAAAAAAACTTTTCCAAATAAAGATGAAGTCAAAACTATTAATCTGTTTTGTGAGTTTGTTGTCCAAATGGGCTACAATATCATTCTCTGTGACATTGCTTTCCATAGTCATTAACATAATATTCATAATCTGTTGAAAAAAATACAGAATGTGATGGATAAATTGTCGTGTAAATTAGACAAAAATGAAAATGAAAATAACACTAACATCTCATTTTAACAGATATATTTATCAAAATTAAACAAAAATATCTTGAAATATTAATGAGTAAATTTATTCAATAAAATTGCCATAGACTTCAACCATGGCCTCCAGATGACTTTGGAATCTCCTGCAACTTTTCTAGATGGTTTCCTTGTTTAAGTTGGTGAATGCTGCCATAAGCCTTGCCTTCCTTTCATCTTTGGTATTACAAGGTATTTTGTTGATCTGTCGCTCAACTGCACCCACACATAATAATCAAGGGAGTTGTACTCTGGGGAGTTAGGTTGCCAGATGTAAGGGGTGATGTGGTTGCAGAAGTTGTCAGACAACCATGACTGGGTTCTACTACTTGTGACATGGTGCAGTCATGTTGCCAGATATAGGGCCTTCTAGCAGCCACCCTCTTGACTCAGGGCAGCACTACCTCCTCAAGGCACTTGATGTAGGTTTCTGTTTTGTGGGGAGATGAATGGAGACATAATGTCAGCAACAATAGTGATCACTCCAAACACATTCATAAACACCATTGGACTCATCCAACTCTTTCTGAATCCTCTGCACAATCCTCAGATTGACACCCAAACACTCTAAAATGTTTGTATTGGCGCTTCTGGTATGAATGCCAAGGAGTACAGTGTACCGTTTCCAAATATCTGGCAGAGTAAATTGTGTCATGGTGCTCTTTTTCTCACAGATAGTGCCAAACTGACTGTACTATACTGTGCAATTGACAAAATCAAAAACAACATGTATGTATGAAATTAAAAATATAAAATGACAACAATTTACCCAATGCAACATGTAGAAGGTACTGATTTGATGCCAAAAGACAACTTGGTGTATTGGAATAAATTGTAATGTGTATTAATCATAAGTAGCTTTTTTGATATTTGCGTCACTTTCACTTGTAGATAAACCTTCACAAGATCAAATTTTTCAAAGGAGGTAGTAACATAAAGTAAATAGGTCTTCTGGAATAGATAATGTTAACCTTTGAAGGCAGTATTGAGTCTGGTTGAGAAATCAGCACCCAACTGAATGGATCCATTGGCTTTCTTGGCCACAATTGGTGCTGCTCACTTGGAATGAACATTTCTTTGAGGCATTTGATCAACCAAATGCAATGCAGCATAAGAAATGAGCTGCTTAAGTCAGAAGATTGGCACAGATATAGATTTTAGCATCAATGTAGCTCAGGTTTTCACTGAATACCAACCTATAGTATTAGTTATCTTTTTATTTAAAAGTCAGCATCAATGCATGGTAACAATGAGTTTCCAGCTACCAAATTTTAATTAAGTTGAAAGTTCTAAATTGATGATGACATTGCAGTCCAAAAGATAACGTGTTAAATAACAAGTAGCTGGTACACTTATGCCATTGAATGTTAATGTGCAAACAACAGCTGAACATTGTTACTTTAAGAACTCCAGGTAATGTGTTGATGGTCTTTCATAGTTTGTGCAACAATACTAGAATGTCAGTGGTATTAGTCCTGTAGTTAAGTTTGTTTGCCCTTGATAAAAATGGAGAGGAGTGAGGAACCTACTTTCAGTTTGACATCAAACCTAGTGCAAATGAAGCTACCAAAGCAGATTGACTTTCTTTTAGCTTAAATAGTTTCCACACTTTACCCTTTTGTTTTAGTGGCCAACAGAACAAATATCTATAGTAGCAGTGTTGTTTGAACAGCATGCAAAATGCCATTTTCTGCAATTCCAACATACAGATAGTGCCTTTCCTGGATGACGTCTTTTCTTTTGAGATTAAGCTTAAAGCAGTGCTTTTGTATAACAAACACAGCATAGCTTACTATTGTACCAAAGATAAACCATGTTTAATGTTGACGAGTTTCACTTGTATTCAAATTTAATTTATTGCAACGAAAAGTCAGGATCTTATGCAATAAGAGTCAAAATCTTTGTATGAATATCAGTGTTGGTCAGCAAATCTAGATCATGCACAAGAATTAAATACTTAAAGTGTGAGTAGATGATTGAACTGATTTTAAAATATTCACAATTAACAGTGTCAGCATAAGTAAAATTATCATCTATCAACCTTGACTTCTTGTTATATATTTGTGTGTGTGTGTGTCAACAGTTCAATTAAATGGATAGTATCATAGGGAGGACTAAATTACACAAATAGTTTTATTCAACTGAGCCACATTTTCAGTTTGTCAAGAAAATTCCATTTGAAAAATCTTCATATCTGAATGACACTTCAAAAATCAAATTAGTTACAGAATCAAAATCTGAAATGGTGCCGGTAATAGTAGAAATGTTGGTCAATTCACTTTTCATAGAATCCACAGAAATAATTTGATACAATAATAGTTTCTTTTGCTGCTGCCAAAGTTGGCAAATATTTTCTAATGCCATGATAAAATAAAAAACAAATCCTTATTGCCAAATTATTATATTTTATTCTAACAGGTTTTGGTGTGTTCAGTTGTATTTGCCCAACATTCTTTTGAGCCTCAACATATTCACTTGTTACATTTCTTGTGTTCCCAAATGGCCAGATGACTTTTTTTTTTTTTTTTTATATATATATAGAAACAGATTACTCAAAATGATTCATGCTGATTGACCAAAACCTGAGGCTAATTTCACTTGAATCTAACAACTTTTCATATCAACTGAAACCTTTGAGTCAGCAATTCAAACTTAAAAAAAATAATAAAAAGCTTTAGATATTAATGGGATACGTTAATAACAATTGTTAATTTCTGTAAATAATCTCAATGGTTTGCTATACTGTTGGGCCCAACCCCAATAATCTTTATACTGTCTGAAAGTTTTATATAACTCATTAATGAGAATAATAAAAGTACTAAACAAATTGCTTGCGCAAAAGTTGGATTAAAAGTCAACTTACGATTCTTACACATCAATTGTAGTTTTTATGGTACTTTGCTATGGAGAATTTGTTAGCAAGCTAAACTTTCAAAACAATAGTACTGTGGTGAATTCAATATGTACAGAATATAAACTATGTGCCAGACTAAGTATAGTATTTTTTCATTTTTACTTCTGGATTTAGTGGCCAATGTTAATGACACTATTCACAAAAAAATATCTAAATATATTCAGAACTGCTTCACATCAGTCGAAGGTTTTATTGATATTCTGACATTAACCTGGATGTTGGCAAATGCATGAGAAATATTTGAATAAAATCAGTTCACCACAATATGCAAAATTATTTTATTTGAGTAAAATTCTATTTTTTTTTTTTTCCAGGGGAATAAATTATGAAGAAGCAGCAGAGATCAGGAACTTCAAATCTGAAACTAAATGGAGGAAGTGAGTAGACAGAGGGTGGAAAGATTGGGGGAAATATAACCAAAATGAAAAGGGGGGGGGGATGTAAAGAAAGAGGAGAGGAAGGCGGGTATAAACAAAGAGGAAGTAGGGAGAATTTTGGACAAACAAAAACAAAGAGAAAGTGAGAGAAGTCTAGGAAAATATAGCTAATTAATGAGAATGAAGTGGAAAGGCGAATCACAAAAGTAACAATTATGAATTTGATATTTTTCATTAAAGGACATGGATGCAATTGTCTGTATCCAATCAGATCAATCAATCAATCAATCAAAGGGTTCCCACAGATCTGTGTAAAAAAATATTCCAGGACTATGTTAAGTTTCAAGGACTGAACCTGTACACACAAAGTGAATGGTTATCAATTTTAAAAACACAAACTTTATGATTTATCTTTTAATCATTTGATAGATGGAGATGTTTAAATAAAAGCTACAGCTGATTTCAATAATTTATGTCACATGGATCAGTTGAAAGCAGTGAAGAAATGCAAGTGTTGAAGGCTAAAACACAACTGAATGCAGACCTGGTTATGTTACACAATTTGTGTAGCATTCTACATTTTGGAGTTCTACTCCACTTGAAAATTTTGAATGACATACTTTAATTCTTACTGCTACACATTTCAGTTATCTAGACAACTCATGGTTTGTGAATGTCACAAAAATTCTTGACTACCATACATTTCCTGTGAAGTATAATTGTTTTAATGAATATAACTACAAAGAGAAATTTTTACAAAAAGACTAAACACTGGTTTTTGTTGCATATGGCACAATGATGTTAACATTTTTTCAGTTTATTTAGTTCAGCATTCAGATCCTCTTCCAATTTTGTTATTTCTATGGATTTGCCCTTTGTAGATCTTTGCATGGCATTGGACTTTGCAATAAGTGTGAAGTTCTGAGTCTGTTCAGCTTTCTTTACATAACTGCCAGCTGACTTGTTCAAATCTTGTGTGCAACTTTCAAGCTCATGCTTTTTGGTCTTCAGTTCTTCAATTTCCGTAAGCATGGATTTCCGTTTTTGTCCAACTGCTTCTTCCTGCTTATTTTTTCTTCTCAGCCTCAAGGTATTGGTTGTATGCTGTTTTGGCATTGGAAGCGCTGCAGAGAAGGGCTTTAGTCATGGGAAAATTCTCAGCACCTGCAACTGTGGCTAAACAGTTTGTGATAATGTGCTGTTTAACCAGAGTCTGCAGTTTCATATTTTCAGTGGAAATTTCCTTATTGACTGAGAAAATTCTCTTCACTGAAGCCCCTCTATGAGAGTACCAGCAATCTGTGAACAACTTTCCACAGTTTTTGATATTCTTTATTGATAGACTGTTTGGACACTTTCTTCTTTGTCTTCATGCCTGCTGAAATTCTTGAATGCAATATTTTTAGTAGCCTCTTCCTTGAAATCTTTATACTGACTGATGATCTCATCACAATCAGACTCGTTTTCTTTCTACCATGTGTGAAAGACATTTTTTTTTTAGAGCGTCTTCTGTGGCAATTTCTTTTCACAAATGGATCCAGGATTCAGCCATTCAAGAAAGGGGAAACTTTGCCAGAAGTGCAATGATGTTGATGAACACTGTGTGTGTGTGTGTGTGTGTGTGTGTTGCAATTTTGTATACAAACAGATCTTTTGTAGACATTTCCTTTTTTGGATGAATTTCGCATAGACCAATCTGCCAGAAATTCACACTTAATCTTTGCAGCATCTTTATGCAGGTTTGGCTTTGACAAAATTCTTACAAATACATTCACTTTGGAAAATGTAATTATTTTTTTTCGTGTGCTCTTCCTTTACAAATCTTCTTAACAGTTTCATGATCATACTAAAAAGGTCATCTGTAAGGAAAGGAAGCAACAGTTTTATCGTTCTGATATTTTACAAGAAACAGTTCAATGTCTTTCTAAACAGGCACAAAAATCTGCAGTTTCACTGGAAATAAAACATCATTCAAGTTTGACAGCACTGTTGTTTTTTTTTTTGTTTTTTTTTAATTAAGTTCACAAATTTGATGACATCTGACTAAATGTCTAAGAGTCATTCACAGGTTTGTACATTTGTTTTAGCCATCTATGGCAGAAATACAAAAGTAAAGGGATAAAAATCCAAATGTGTTTTTTTAATATATTTCATTATTTTTTCATACTTATAACAAAAGCTAGAGACAAGTCATTATTAGCCTGCAAACTTTAAAAATAACATTCAAAGATGCATTTTTCACCATAAGACACATCAAAGGCACACTTTCTTTTCTATCATGCTTCCCATCTACACTTTCTTCAAATCAAATTTGATCCTCAAACTTGTTACCTTTGGCAACAGTTTAGACAAACAGTTTACACATTGACATAGGACACCTAAAGTATCTATTTTCTTCAGCAGAAATTCACTTTGACTTTTTACTTTTGAAATTGACATTCTTCAATTGTTCAAATTAAAAAAAAAAAAAAAAACACTAGTAAATTTTTCAAAATTCTACTAAAATGTATTTTACTACTGTAAAACAATTTATTATTTCCCTTTAAACTACAAATTCAATGAGTGTGAATTAATCTATCATTAAAGGAGATGTTTACTTGTCTCTGATGCCTTTATATTCTTTCTCCCTTTCTTTCTCATCACAGAGACGAGAAAATACAGAAATAACTATGAGGTCATGAACTCATTCTAATCAAGGAAACAAATCACCATTTGCAATAATTGCCAAATATTATTACTGACAACTAAAAAAAAAAAAAAAAAAAAATTTCTTAAAGGACAATTTTAGCCAGATTTCTGGGATTTGGCATCTTGACTTTCATGTTGCTGTTTTTCCAGGACTTTTCAATCTCTGGAAAAGCCCTGTTAATTTTCCAAGGTTTTTCAAGGTTTCCAGAGTCTGTACAAACCCTACAATCAGATCAATGTATTAATAAACAGTTTTGATCTTCCAAAGTCACACCAAAATTTGGACATTTTAGTTCTAGTATTAATAACAGACTAAGTCATAATGCACAACAAATAAATTTTCAGTGTTAAAAAAATAATGTTTGATTCCAAATTGTGGTTGGCATGAGTACAACTTTGAGGGATCATTTAAAATAATTTGTTGGTCAAGAGAAACTGCATTTTATTTAAAAAAAAAAAAAAACAAAAAAAAAACAAAAAACAAACAAACAAAAATATTGCTGTGTATAACATTTACATATCTACTTTGATAAATGTTTCTAGTTTGTCTAACCTGTAATTATCACTTTTTTTTTTTTTTTTAGATATTTGTCATATTAGTTTTTTTCTGGATCAAAATTTTAAATAAAATGTTAAGGAGACAATCTTGTGAAATATCCAGTAATAGATAATTTTAGAAATTAACTTTTTTCAAAAACAGCTTTAAAGAGACAAGAAAGGGGAAAAAAGTCAATAAAAATTGTTGATGGCAAAGAACTGAAATTTTATTGATACAAAAAAGTTGCTTTCAGATTTCCAAGTTTTGGTAATTTATTTTTTAAATTTTACAAAAGAGAAAACAAATGAAATTAAAAAAGGAAAAGATAGTTAATTAGAAATAGACTTAAATCTTGGAATGAATTGAAGATTACTTCCAATAAGAAAGAAAGAACGAAAACAGTTTTAGGTTAAAATACTTTCTAAGATTTGAACAGGAAGATAGAATAATTAAAAGTAAAGGAATATTATTTATTATTTTGAGAAAAAAAAAAGACAGGAAATCACTCAATTAGAAAAGTTGAATTGATACTTCCAGTAAATATTTATACAATAAAACTGAAATGTGTGATTGAAACCACTGACCCTCAAATTTAAGATAAGTTAGTTTTGTTCATATAATTAAATTTGCTAGCAGTATTCAATAAAAAGTTATCAAGTAATACAAGGGTTATCGCCCCATGGATCATTGGAATTACTATTTTTATCCTTGTCATTTTTCTCATATTGTGATCAAAACAAGATAGGGTTCAGAAATGTTTTAAGTTATCTCCCTTGCATCAGAAAGCCTTTATACTCAGATAACAAAAATTTACCGAGTGTTTATTGCCTCTCTAAATAAGACAAAGCCAGATTATTCCAGTAGAAAGGTTAGTAATGAGAAAATGTGCAGTAAAATAATAATAATGATGATGATTGAGAAAACAAAACTGCACACCACCGCTATACAAAATAAATAGGTTTTTTCACATTAATACCATATTCTGATAGAGCAGGAACAAGATCATCCATTGAAAGGGTGAAACGTTTGTCCTAAAAAGAAATAAGTAAAAAATTAAAAATCAATAAGATGAAGAAAAAGAGTTTCAATAAAAACGTTAGATAAAATATCCAAAAGATTACCTGATTTTTCTTTTTTTTTTTTTTTGGTGAATGTTTCTTTCCTTTTAATGGTAGAAACTAGTTTTTCATGGACTATTTAACATTGTTTAAATAAATGATAATAAATAAATTTGCTAATTGTGGCATTTGTTGAAAAATGTCCAGACTAGAACAAAGTTGTTTTATTGTACAAAGAGTAATTTTTTTAAACAATGAACTGAAGTTTTGAAGCTTTGTTACTGAGTGAAGAAGAAAATCTGACCCTGAATCATTCTTGCTGAAAATTAATTTGTTATTGTATTTCAAACATTCTTTTATTTTAGTCTTTTTATACAACTGATTAATGCATGAATAGTTCTCTTTAAAAGGGGATGGAGATGGGGAGTCTCCATAATTTTCATCACGTGGCACACAATTATTGTGGTCTAAAAGAATATAGAAAGTAAAATTGAGATAAGGTGGCCAAGTTTATAACTGTGGCTCTCAAAACAAAAATTAAATTAAAAAAGTTAAGCAAATTTCTTCTCTGCCTTGATTGAACAACTTTTCACTTTTTTAGAGAAGCAGAGGTCATTAAAAAAAAAAAAAAAAACCCTAAGAACATGCACTTCTTTCTTCCACACTTGTACTGCACAAGCAAATAAATGGTACTGATCATCAAATTAACTCAAATCAGTTCCAGGGTCTTTTGCAAACATTTTTTAAAATCATTCCATCCCAAGCAAGGTGATAATGCCACTAAAATGCCAGGGTTTGCTAAAAATGAAATAGAATGAGAAGATTTTAGGGAGGAGAAAGGACAGTAAAAGGACAGAGTTCAAAGAGACAGAAGATAGTGATTGACATTGCATTTAAATCTTTGAAGCTTGTAGGCGGCAGGGAAACAAGAAACTGGAAAAGAGTTCCACATGCGAGAAGTGCAAGAAAAAAACTATTAGAAATAACTTATAGTTTACATCTAGATATTTTAACAGTAAAATGATGAGATCTAACTGCCAATCTAATAGTACACTTAAATTCATGCAACTGAGGTACAAAGGAGAACTCATTAGAACAGTTACCATGAAAATATTTATAGAAAAGACAGAGGGAAGCCATGTCATGGCAGAGATGTCAGGACTAACATTATAGACCCTTCTTTGGATTTTATCAAGAATTTTGAGATATACAGAGTAGGAGAACCAGACCAGATATGGCAGTAATATCCAATGCATGGGCAAATGGTAGATTTATAAATGTGCAAGATGGATTCTAATTGATATGTTAATTATTTAGAAAATTTCTCAATATTTTTTTCTAATATAAAACCTGATTTTTTGTGATCTTATAACATTTAAAATCAGTTAAATAACTAGGCACAAAACATACCTAAGGATTTTTTGGGGTCATAAAAAAAAGTTTATAAAATCAACAATTATTTTTGTAAGCTAATGGACACAACATTTTAAATTATTTTAACAATTATTGCCAACTGACAATGAAATGCACCAAGCAACAACTGATTAAAAAAAAAAAAAAAAAAATGAAAAATAAACAAAAATTACTGCCACAGCCTAGTCCAAATAACCAAATGGCTGTACCATTTGATTCTAAATAAATCAAAAGAATTGAGAATAGATAGCCACATTTATTTTTGTTCCCATTTGAATAAATTTTGCTGTTTTACAAAGGTCCATTGTTTCAGACAATATCAACCATACACAAAAGAAATGGCATTTGGAATGTCAAGCCTATTACAGTGAAATTCAAACATGTGCTAACATTTGGATAATTGTAGTTGGTATGTGAATTACTAAATAGAAATATTCTAAAAATAACACCATTTTCTTTGCTTTCTTCCACATAGTCAATAGGTTCTGCTTGATACACAGTTTGATTTCTCTAATAATTTTAATTACACTGGTCAACACGATTTTTGGTGCCAAGGAACAAAACAGATTTCTTAGCTAATTTGATGGTTGCCGATTCTGAAAATGACCTTAGTTTTTTATGGTTAGTCACAGTTTTTGCTGTACTGAAAAAGATCAATTTATGATCTTGGCTAATTGCAAAATTTTGTTAATAAAGACCATAGAAACCCATCAATTTTCAGCTAAGCTGAGCAATTTATGTCAGCCACCTGAAATAAACTATTTTATAAAAAGAAACTGTTTTTGAGTCAAACATTTTAAAATAGAAGTACTGAATTTTTCCAATTTGTCACCAAAATTCAAATTAACTGATAAACTTTATCAGTAATGCACTTTAGTAAACCTGATAATTAAGGTGACATCAAAAAAATGAAACCCTAAAATCTTCTGTTTGATATTCATAAATTTATTCCAACACTTTTATCCCTTCATTATGGAAGGAAACCAAGCACATTGAGAGCATTTTGTTTTCACAGTTGGAAAGAAACTCCAACTAAAGACATCCCAATTGAATGTACCTATTCCATTGTATATGATACTGCTGGAGTATCAAAAGGGACTTAAATAACATTGAAAATGACAATCAAGAAAGAGAAAATTTTACCATAGTTCTTATATTCACAAAGGTTTTATTTCTGCTGTTAGTTTATTAAATGATTTGATGAAAATACTTGTTGGTCTTGGTATATTCAATCGTGTTATTTTTAAAGACATGGGGTCTGATTGTTATTGGAAAATAATATTTCTCAATAAACAGACCAATATTTGTTGGTTTAAATACAAATTGAGTGGTTTCTAAGACTTTATTTTGAGAAATATTGTCATTGGCCAATATCATATATACAGAAAACATGAAAAAAATGTTTTTTTTCCCTCCAAAAAATGAGACATTTCTGTACAGCAAAAACAACGGCTAACCAAGAAGAAAGTAAAAGTCATTTTCAGATTCAGCTCTCAAATTAGTTAAAAAAGATGTTTGGTGTCTCAACATCATTTCAATTTTTTTTGTTGACCAGTTTTATTTTAAAAAAAAATTAAGCTAGAAAATTCTTTTAGTGCAATTTGAAATTTCCTTTTCTTTTAGAAATAGTTTTTTAGATTTGAAGAATGAAGAATTTAGGAATGGGAAATCTACAAAATATTCTAAATAAAAATCAAATTAAAATGTCAGTTTCTCAGTAGTACTAACACCTCAAAACAAATTTCAAACCAATACTGAAGCATTAGGTAGAAATTCATTTCTTTGATGAGAATTCATATTAAAATATTGGGTTGATCAAAAACATTTAATTTTAACTTCATTAAAAGATTGCTTTTCATTGTGGCAATGGACATTTAAAATTTTGTCAAAATTGGCATATTTTGTTAACTGACTTTAATAGTGAAAATAGGAGATAACCAAAATTTTTAAATATTATGCTGTTTTTTTTTTTTTGTAAAGTTAGTGCAAATGATTAATCAGTTGAAGTTGACAGTGATCTAAGTAAAGACATTACTTGAGAATAGAGTTATATGATGTGGGAGATCAGACAACATAACTCAAAATAGACAGATCAAGTATTGAGAAAATCATTTGCACCAGTTTGGTTATGTTGGGTGCTTGGATGTGTGGATTCCACATTAAGAAATTTAAAAGAATAATAATAATAAAAAAAACTTATTGTACTGGCTTTCCTAATGTGACTTACTTAAATCTAAGAAAAATGTTCCATTTTTGAAAAGTGAATACTCAATAAATATAATTGCATTTAAATTAAAAAAAATAAAAATTAATAAAAACTCATTTCAAAGACTAAAGGAAAAAATATTTTTCACAGAATTTTTTTTTTTTTTTTTAATTATTTTTAAACTCCTTTTTGCTTGCATTTTCCATTTCATATATGCAATTAGAAATGGATCCAATATTCAATTATGCCAAAAATAAAGAGAATGCTTGGTAATTTCACTAAATAATTAGCATCTTTAAATTTGTTCATTTGGTCCTATGTTATTTTGTCAGTTCTGGATTTTTCTGTTTTGCTTTATGCAAAGTTGGTGAAACTCCAAAGAAAAAAAGTACTGCAAACAGAAACATTTTTGTTTCAAGCAAATTTACTCCCTTTGATACTTGTAAAATCTGCAAAAATAAGGTATTCTAGTATGTACAGGTGGGGTTAGGTTTGACATTAAATGAGTGTCAGCCAATGTCGTATTTAAGTAATCAATTTCCAGAGGAAATTTTGGTGATGACTGGTACTGTGAACATTTGTCATTTGAATTCCTTTATATCAAAGAAAGACTTGTAAATAGCAGTGAGGAAAGCAAAAGGTTCATTCTTATTGAAGCTGTAGCACTTTGAAACATTAAAAGGCCTAGAGGTTCAACCACTAGCTCTGCTCCCATGACCTCCTGCTCTTGATATTTCTAACTGAAGTTCCATCTTGTAAACCTTTTAATTCCTTGTAAATTACAGTGGGAAAATTCTAGACAAAGTCATTCCTTATCAAACAAGGCCCAATTAACCACTGATGGACATAAGCAAGAAAGAAAAACATCACAAACAGAAAAACAAAAAAGACTTGGGTATTTTTGTTCCCTTAGTTGGCAAGGTTCTCTTACATGGAGTTTTTTTTTTTTTTTTGACAGGGAAAGTTGAATTCAACATAAACAATGATCAAATATAAACAAAAATAATTCTAGAAACCTATTAGAGGATTTTATACATGGTGCAGCAGAAATACCTCTTACATTAACTACATGTCACTAATGTCTTGCCATTATGTGGAAGGTATTCCTGTTGCACCCTGTATGAAAGATAACATGAAAAAGTAATAAAGCTAATATAATGAAGGATCAAAAGTAATGGGTTTATGTGCACACATGACACAGTTGAAAGTTTTGAAACATAAGACATTTGATATGTGTATTTTGATACCAAACTGATTTGGTTAGCAATTCATTTATAAACACAGTGAATATATAAACAAACAAAAGCAATTCACCAGTAACCAGATAATTCAATCATTTTTCTTATATATTAGATATTTTCAATATCATTCCCCACCACCATTCCCTCGATAATTTTTTCCTAAGAGAAAATGACAACTGTTCAATACTTTTTATTGTATTAAAAGGTTGTCATTTTCTCTTAGGGAGAAATTATTTAGGGAATGGGGAGAGTGATATTCAAAATACTCCATGAAACAAAAAAAAAAAAAAAAATTTCCTCCTTTCCTGAAGCTTTTATTAACAATGGATTTTGTTTTAATATTCTTCAATCTTTTTCTTTACCCTTTCTTTTGCCTGACTTTAATTTTTTTAATAATAGCATCCAAAATGCAAAGAATTGCTGTTTTAAGGAATTGTTCATATTTTTATATTTAAACTCATGAAATGTTAAACAATATCAAACAGCAGGTTTCTTTTTTTATCTTATCTTATTTACAAAAGGCAAATAAACTAAATACTTTCATCTCTAAGAACTGAACAAATATTCTTGTTTGTGATTTTTTTTTTATTTATTCTTGATCAAAAAATTAAATCTTCTTGTAATGAAAGAAAAAACACAGCTTAAAAAAATGTTTGTAACCAGGATAATTTATTAAGCTCAAGGTGACAACTTTTTAACAAAACAACAAAAATATTTTCATTTGAGAGTGCAGACAGACATTTGGAAAGAAACTACTTTTTACCCAGTTTTCACGTCCTGATGCTTTGGAGATGCTCGTAAATAGAGATTTTGGGTGGAAAAAATTTTGAAAAGGATTATATATTATAACTTAGTATTAATGTTTATTCCTTAAAAAATAATGGCAACATTTCTTTCCATTTTTTTCTACAAGTTAAATTTACTTTTAATTGAGAAAAAAACACTTATTTAAAAAATCTTTATATTTTTTTAAATAAGTAGGTTTTTTTCTAAGCAATATAATTTTTTGATCTATTGATTTTTCTATGGATAGGAGTCAAACATTATTTTATTTGTTCTGATGGTTTTTAGACAAACCCTAGAAAATTGCAGAAAAAAAATAATTGAGAAGTGATTTTCTTGTAGCAAATTACTAAATTTTAATCACGGTTTTTTTTCAGACAGATAAAACTGCCTAACAACTAACAATCTCCAGGCGTTCAAATTGAACATACATAAATCATTAACACTTGTCAACTAAACAACCAAATCTTTATTTAAGTTGATCATAGGTTTGTCCCTGGCAAATTTCACATGTATTTTGAATAATAATCAACAAAACTTCTGCATTTCAGCTTTATCTTATTATATTGAAGATTTTTTCACTTCTAAAATTTCTATTGTATAAATTTTTACAAGCATTAAACTGATTATTTGATTTGAAATTTTCTTTCTCTTTTATGTTAACAAGCTTTACCAACTGAGCAGGTGAACCTAAAAACCTCTTCATTGTTGGATTGCTTCTCTCTAGCTGAAACCCAATTAGCAAAAACTTCATATTTACAGATATTCTTTTTAGTAGAAAACTTGAAATTATGCAAGAACAACAAATTATGTCAAAATTCCACAGTAGGAAAGAAACCAATTCTTACAGTTCTAGTAACTCCAGGAGAAGTAGCAGCTGTTAAATTCTTTCCAGTCAACCAAATAATTCAACAGATTAATTCCATTTAGCAGTAAGAAAAACATCTGTCTATAAAATATTTATTTCAACAGAAAAGTGATAATTATGTGCATATATGTATCTGTTAAAAAAAAAAAAAAAAAAAAAATAAATCAATATTTTATAGGTAGATGGTTTCCTTATTGCTAAATGTACAGAAATTAATCTTTAATATAAATAACATGTACTTAGCAAAAATTCAGTGATGTTTTATTGATTCCAAGCAACAAGATCTGTATTTATATTTTTTTCAGTTGTTGTATGTGTTGCTGTATATCCAGATCAAATTTAAAAAAAAAAAAAAAAAATGTTGTCCAAAGTTCATGATGTTTTGTTCAAGTACTTTTGAGTATCTCTCATCATTATCAATGTTATCAGTTGCAATAGAGATAAATTTTGATTAATTTCAAATAATATCTTGTCTTTAGGCACTGTCAAGTCATGTCATTTCTAACAGACTAATTTTTAAAAATAACTTTAAATGTATATCCCTTACATATAGTTACACGTCATTCTACACATGACATAACTTGCATTCAATACATTTACATTTAAATTATAATTTACTCTATTTACATTGTTTGAATTGTCGCCCTCATCTTTATTGCCATATTTGCAATGTTTTGGTCATTGTATGCTATGCTCTTCTTCAGGTGATATACATTGGAATTTCGATTTAGTTTATGGGAGTAGATTGTTCTAATTCAGTGCTATGTCTTTGTATATTTCAGTTTTTAGTTAATTCCCTTTAGTAACTAAACTCTCCAAGATTTTGTTCCCACATACATGTTATACATATTTAAAATCTCAGCATAGGGAACTCATTCCTTCCAGGACAAGCCCCGAATATTTTGAAAGCTCCGGATTCGAGATGTGCTATTTGTAAGGAGTCCATGTTTCTGCCACATAAAAGTGGGTAGACACAAAGTATTATAAACAGCAACTTATCTTCAGGCTTTTATAAAGTAATCTAAAAGCTACTGAGGAATTATTGATAGAGCTGCTTATTTCAATGCTGAGGGACCAGTGTGTGGAATTAAGGTAATTTATGAACCATGCTGTGTGGGATATTTTTGACTTGGAAACTGGTAGCTCTATGGACAACTGAGGGATTCTAAATAACTTTTAGGACTAAAGGCCCACTTAAGAACTGGAACATAAACACCACTTGTCTTGAATCTCTTGCTCTTAAAAGGCCAGCCTGAAAACAACAATGGAGGACTGAAAGGTGTACTCTACAGCATCAGTGGGTAACTAACATTGTGCCAATATTGAGGCCCCCTTGCTTGTACCTCAAGCATCAGCCTCAACAACCACATGAATGATGCTGACCCAAAACACACATACACTTATACCTTACTCTTAATACCGGAGCTAGTATCATTGGGCATGATGGACAGCTGAATGAATGAAATATATATATATATATATATATATATATATGTATGTGTATCACACAAACAGAATACTAGGACTTACCCATTTTTTTTAAAACACCTAAAATGAATAGTAACATGCATTAACAACTATATTTTGCATCAATTGTTTTAAAAAGATTCAAACAATTTTCAGTTGGTCCAGTAGTATCAGTTTAATCAAAATTGTTGCTTCAAAACAAAATATTTCTGTTTTTACTTTTTAAAAACAATTTGCAAAACAATATAAGGAACTAAAAGGAATTTTGATTCTTAATTTTTTTTAAATTGTCTAATTTACATAATTACAACATATAAGTGTTTTTTAATTAATGTCAACTATCATTTATTCCTATTCCTTCCTTTCCCAAGGGCATAAGTGCAGAATTTGAACTCGACTAACTGGTTCCATTTTCTGTATTACAAACTGTTTGGTCAACAGTACCTCAGCACAGGCATTTAAAATATAAGTAAATGTTTGTTGCCTACATTTAGGCTGTTACTGGTATATGTGATGTCTATTTTCAAAGTTTGGCTGGAAACAGCACTCTAAATTGAACTGTGATGACCTCTAGTAACATCAAAGGTCAATGTCACCTATCCCATGTACATTCTTGAATTCCATTGATAGATTTTCAGTTCCTCAGGGTCCAGCTATTTGCTGGCCATAAGATGTATGTAAGCAATCAAACAATCACAGGAGCTATAAACATTTTTTATAATAATAATAAACTTATTTTCTTGTAACCTCTTTGAGAAATTTGCCAGGGTCAGGCTCTTTTGCATTCAGCAATAAACCAAAAAGAACATTCATTATTGAGTGGAATTGACATTCCTGATTTCTACAGAATGTTGATATTTACCATGTGAAAGAGGAAGAAAAAGAAAGAGAGAGAGAAAAATGAATGCCTGATGAGAATAAATAAAGAACAAAGTGGAGTTTCAACAATTACAATTGCACAGAAATAAGTCGATTGCTGGGAAGTAGGCCAAAGTTTACATTTCATCTGGATAAAACATAACTTGTCCAGAGAAATTCTAAGCGGACCCAAAAGAATTACTAAACAATTTTTACAAAGTTAAGGAAAACAATCAAAGGTCCCGGGAAACATTGACATAAAAATCATTGAAGATTGTGGAAAAAATTCCAGCTCTTCTTGAAAAGGCTACTAGCAAAATTTTTGTGGTCCTTTTGAAGAATTTTTATTCAGAGGTTATTTGTGTTTTAAAAAAAAAAAAGAGAACTGATTTAATAACATAGCAGCAATAATTTGCAATCATTTGAAGGGTTTTTTTTATTGATACATTGGGATTTTCTCAAACTTTTCTTATAAACTAGAATTTGTAAAAGCCAATTTAAATACATTTAAGTATAGATTTACTTTTTACACATAAGTAAAAAAGGCATTTTTCATTTCCCTAGAAATAATGATAGCTTTAAGATCACACATATAAGATTATAAACATATTTAAGTAATTTTCTTTCTTTTTTTATTGAAGAGAACTGAAAAGTGTTGCTTGAAGTGTGTTGCAGGTTGTTTAAGAGAGTAGGTTTTATAAGAATGTCTGTTTATCAAAGATTTCTTTCCTGATGTAAATGAAAAAGAAAGAGGCTATAATTTGTAATATTTCTAGACAAAAGGAACAAAGGATGTCAGTTTTTATTAAAACTTACCTTTCCTTGTTTCTTGGAACTTTGCCCTGAAGCTCTCATCTTGCAATGTTGAAGTGCATCATTAACAACATCAGAGACAAACTTTTGGGCAGCTACTGAGATCAGACGGACACTGATGGAAAAAAAGGTGAGACACAAATCTTAATAGATTTTATCTTTTTAATTCATATAAAAAGATTAGTTTCCAATATTTAAAAAGGAAGACAACTGAGATTTACTTTTGAAAATTAATTCTTTGAGGATAATATTAGGTTGTCGAAAAAGAGGTTTATCCTATTAGTATTTAAATTGATATAATGAATATATTATAGACCAACTAAAGGCATCAATCAATAAAACATATTCCAAATTAGTAAAGAGAATGTTCATAATGTTCAATTAGGATAATGTTAGATTACATGTATCTTTGGTGACCAGGCAAAATTTGAAAGAATTTTCCCTCATCCATCATATTCAGCAGATAATGTACCTTCAAGATTACCATTTACTCCAGACTTTACAAAAGAATTTAAATTTGTTGAAAGACTACCAAATGCACCTTGAACAATTCTTTACTGGGAAAGATAAAAAATTCTGAGAGTTATGAAATGGCATGAAAGTTGACAAAATGCTACATATAGTGTTCAATAAAATTAATGTCAAAAAATTATCTTATTTTTATTTAATAAACTGAATAAACTTTTGGCTACATAATAGATTGATTAATAATATTGATTAACAACAGTAACAACAAAGAGTAGAAACTTTGTCATACAATCTGAATATCTATGAAGTTTTTCATTTCTAGAAAGACTCTTTAGAATAAGTTGGTGACAAAGAGGAAATGCTTTTAAAGTAGATTCTACTTTGAACCATTGCATAAAAATATGTGTGACACCCTTTTAAATAAAGGTTATGAACTTCAGCCATACGTCTTGGATGGATGGATGGATGTTGGATTTAACGGCATGTCAACTCCTATTCATACGTCTTGGGACTAATATTCTAACCTATTAGGCCAGAATTATAGCAGCAGTTTAATATAGTTTTCTGACCCATTAATAATACTTATCAGCCAATATTCTGTAGATAAATACAGTGAACATTTCTGCCTTTATGAAACCTTGTATATACAGCATATATAAATAAATAAATGTGGATTAGGGCATTTCAAAAGAAAAAAGAAAATTCTTTCATTTCTTAGATCAAGTCCATCATTAAGGTTGGTTTCATCCAGTGCAAGGTTCATTTTGAGAGAACTTTAAAGCAAATAATAAAAATAAATGAAATGACATTTGTTTTTTCTGCTTTGAAAGAATCAGTGTTGTTTGACAATCCATCTTATTTAAACACCCCCACACCCAGATGCTGTACCCCAATCCATCTGGTGATGTTGATTCAACCACTGTGCCACAACAGCCTACCCTATATGTAATAGGACATTTTGTCATTCAACCCACCAAGTCACCTCACATCTCTAAACTGGAAAAATTCACAAATCTGAAGATGAAAGTTTCAAATTGATGAGAAAAACCTTTAAGGAAACACTAACAAGTTTAATTTGCTGAACTGCAATCAACATCTTAGCCTTATTTCTTTTTGTCTTAATTTTCTAATGAAGAAAGTATGTTTTATCATTACAGGCTTTTTTTTTTTTTTACATCTTTTACTTAAGTTAATTATATTGAAGTAATTAAGTGGTAAGTGCATATTTAGATTCTTTGACAAGGAAAAATAGGAAGTTATTACAAGAATTCCCGGGAGTTGCTCTATGATTTTTAATCACTTATCTTTTAAATAAGGTAATTGAAAATATGTTGTTACATTGACAAAGAGGATTCAAGTAAAGAGCTTTGAGCTATACTTAATATACAGGATGAAAATGTCAAGTTTTTAGCAAATAGCTGTCATACAACAGCATCAACAACAACCACCACCAGTTTCTTTAGGTCAAACTGCACTATACCATTTATAGCAATTATCAAAAATATTTGACATGTGAATATCAGAGAAGAATAAATCTTGTACTATTAAAAAATAAGGTTCTTAAAAACATACATACATACATACATACATACATGGTTATAGATCTATTTACTGGGGTCGACAGTTTATAAAGTTAACCTGAAACTGTGTCTTCTTTTTTCCCACCAAATGTCATAGCAATTTTATAAGAGTTAAAAAGAGTAAATACTTTAAACCTTGTCATTAGCTGTTAAAAATCCAATTATAAAAAAGAAATGAGTCTATATTTAAGTAAAATATTTCAATAAACCTAAATGCAGAATTGCATGAAATGCCTCCATATATTTTTTGAGAGAAAATGAATATTATATAAATATACAATGTAACCCGGATATAAGAGAGTTGTCGGGACTGGAGAAGAAGTCTCTTATATCCGGGTTTGGTCTATTTTATATACATTAACACAGGCTCTAATTTGGGACCAGAGAAAATCTCTTATATCCGGGTTTCTCTTATATCCGGGTTACACTGTATAACATTGACTTTCTATCTTTAGAGAACAATTTTTGCAATTGCTATCATTACCAAACATAGCAGGAATAAAATTCTTATCTTGATTTTGTGCTCTTTTTCTGATTTCTCTTGAAAATTTTTAATAGCTTTCAAAAGTGTCAGTCATAGAACTGAGTATAAACATTAGTCTGTAATGCTGTGATATATACGGCAATAATTCGTGAGACTATCAGGTCATCCCATAAGTTCTGTCTGAATTTTAACTTTTTGTTAAGATGAACAAAATTTAAAGAGTATTTTATAATGTCTAATTGCGCTGAACATTATTTTTATGTTTAGATGCATTTAAACTGATCAAATTTTATTTCAGAGAACAAAATCAAATTTTGTTTGATTAAAACCCTGCTAACATGGAAGTACCCAAGAATCATTTGAGGCACATAATGTTTTATGAGTTCAAGAAAGGAAACTCAGCAGCCGAAGCAGCAAGAAACATTCACCCAGTTTATGGAGAGGAATGTGTGAATGAAAGAACTTGCAGAAGATGGTTTGCAAAATTCAGAGGTGGAGATTTCACCCTTGAAGATGAAGATCAAACTGGACGTCCAGTTGAGTTTGATGAAAAGCTTCTTGAAGCAGCCCTTGAAGAAAATCCTGCTTTATCAGTTGAGGAATTGGCAGTGGTTCTCAGTTCAAACCATACAACTGTTCATCGTCATCTTCAACAACTTGGAAAAGTTCCTAAACTTGGAAAATGGGTGCCTCATGAATTGTCTGAAAACAACCTCAAATCCTGAGTTGACATCTTCTCTTCTCTCCATTCTCGCCAACTTGTTTCACCTTTTTTGGATAGACTTGTGACTGGCAACAAGAAATGGATCTTTTATCAAAATGTTAAGTGTCGTAGACAGTGGCTCGGTAAAGGGGAAGGACCCCAGCCACAGCCAAGAAAGGAACTTCATGGGGAAAAGGTTCTTCTTTCAATCTGGTGGGATCGCCAAGGAATAATCCACTTTGAATTCTTACCACCTAATGCAACAATTAATGCTCAAATATACTGTCAGCAATTAGAGCGTTTGAACCAAGCTTTGAGGGAAAAAAGACCTGCTCTAATGAATTGAAAAGAGGTGATGTTTCATCAGGACAACAAAAGCGACCCCCACACAGCAAGAATCACGTCACAAAAGATCGAAGAACTTGGTTGGGAGAAAATTCCATCCACCTTATTCTCCCGATCTTGCTCCTTCAGACTACCATTTGTTTTTTAGCTTACAGAATCATTTGGAAGAAACAGCTTTTGTAACACAGGAAGAGGTTAAAACTGACATTTGTGAGTTCTTTGAATACAAAGGCAAAAGAATTTTACAGTAATGGAATTAGTAAGCTTGTTAATAGATAGAAGGAAGTCATAGATAATCAGGGAAAATACATTGTTGATTGAATCTGTAATTAAATGTAAGATTTGGTCACTTGTTTTCTTTATTCAAAATTTGGACAGAACTTATGGGATGACCTGATACTATAACTTAGTCTGGAATACAAATATCATAATGGGTAATTTATTGAGAATCAAATTATGACTGAAAATACTGAGCAGGATGACAGAATTATGAAGCAAAAGTTGTTTTTATTGGTGAAGACTTTACTTAAATCTTCTCAACTGTAAGCTTTTTTAAAGTCATAGGAAATTAAAGTGTTGGAAACGTATTGCAACCTTTTTGATTATGCCTTAAAATTAATTTATAAGCAAATAATAATTAAGGCATGAATAAATTTCGCTCAACCAGAATTTACAAATAAATTTTACAATTCATTTCTTGGTTTTATTTACAAATATTTTATATATTAGTTAAATTCCCAGATGAATTCTGTGGACAAGACAGATTGGCATCAAATTGGAAAAAAATCTTACATTTTGCTAATGCGTTCCGTCTCCCGACTTTTTCAAGGCAAAAATGAAATTGAAATGTTTTTGTTGTTATAGTTACATTAAAAATCCAAATTTAAAAAGATAGACGCTTCTGTTTAAGCCTTTTTTTCTGGTTAATGTAAATTACTTTTATAGTAAGGGATTATTATTATTAAAAAAAAAAATGATAATAATAATAATCCCTTACTATAAAAGTAATTTACATTAACCAGAAAAAAAAGCTTAGACAGAACGTCTATTTTTTTAAATTTGGATTTTTAATGTAACTATAACAACAAAAACATTTCAATTTCATTTTGCCTTGAAAAGTCGGAAGACTTAAATGCATCGGCAAATGTAAGATTTTTTTCCAATTGTCATTTCATGCCATATATATATATATATATATATATATATATATATATATATATATATATATGTGTGTGTGTGTGTTGTGTATGCACATAAAATGAAATACAAAGAAAAGGCTAAATATTCTGCATGAAGAGAATTATTTAAATGACTCCATCTTTATTAAAGAGGAAAATATTTCTTTGGCTGTTAAGTGCATCTATGCAGTTCCTATAAATAAAATGACATTCAAATGATCCAATGAATAAAAAATATCTCTGTATTGAACCTCCTTATCCGATAAAAAAGTTTTCATGTTTTTTTTTTTACAACTAAGTCAAATAGCTTACACTTGAATAAGAGACTTATCACTTATCTACACATGTTTTTTATGT